GTGTGTATTTCGGCCTGTGTGTGTTTAAGAATAAAAAATGTCCCCAATAGGGGATTAATAAAGTATATATCTTCTTCTTATCTTCTTTAATTGTACAGCAGATTAATATTCTCTGCGCTGTTTTGGTTCACGTTTCGCAATAACATATTTGAAGGACTGCAAAATGACCTCAAGATACATTTTTAGATCTCCTAAATTGCCAACTATTTTTGAGATGTGGCGAGGTCGTTAGAGAAACACCGCTGCACAGTCTGGAGGCCTCTTTTCATTTCAAGCTTTCTCTCAGGAAACTTGATATGATCAAAGCACTCCAGGCCCAGAACAAAGGTGCCACTGGTGCTGAACACGCTGACGGTTGTAATGATGATCATCACGCACAACATTAGAAGGGGCTGGTGAGATATAATGCCACCCACTCCACCATCAGGGCTCCACACGCATGTCGAGCTATGAAATGACCAGAGCTTAAAGAGGCAACCGTGTCATTTCCCACCGCTAACCCCTTAAGTTTATCCTCGCTTCAGAGGTTGCTCATCTCGCCACGCTCTGTCAGTTGGGCCAACACTCCCTAAAGCCTCAGACCACTTGAAATTACATTGCAGTTTCAGACCATCTACCACTGGAGAGGTGACTCAGTAATTGGAAGTCATAATGGCCAATATGACAAGGTGGTGATTTTCAGTAGTGGAGGTCACCCCTGGGCCATGTCGCACCCCAACAAGGTTGGGTACGGTATGTGAATGTGACTTTGCTTCTTCTACCTTCCATAATGTTACAGGCTTTGGACTGAGTCCCTGTCTGAGCTGAATTTGTCTCAGAACGACATACTGTGTGATATAACAAGTCAAGAGTCAACTTGCGCCACTCTCATGACTGATAGAAACAATCTTCCTGCCATCTGTCCACAGGCCTTACCACCAGCGCTGGCACCACAGACCGAACAAATAGAGACGTCAGTCATCTCACCACTCTACCTGGAAGGCTGATTTAAAAAAATATATATTTTGGAATTGTACTTTATTTTGATACTGTAGTGATGGTAGAGAGTGACAGGA